CAGAACCAGTGTCCAGTAGTCTGCCACAAATCAGGACTTTTTTTGTCACACAATGTTATGCAATCTTTTCAGAAACTCTAAATAGAAAGTGTGATTAACAGTCTGACCTGGTGCAAAAAACCCCAACTGCACTAGGGAGGACATTTTCGTTCATTTGGGATGCCGAGAAGAGGTTTGTTACCAATCAACATTTCACCTTTTTTGAAATGAGAAAGCTATTCGTACACTTCAGGTTTTCCCCAACAGCTTCTGTGGCATATTCCCGAAGCAGAAAACAAAATTTTCACAGCCACATTTTGTTCTCTTCAATAGGTCATCACAAAAAATGAGGTTCAGGTGAAACTTCGAAAAAATCCAGTGACGAGAACCTTCCCAGGCGACACCCTTGGGTGCACTAACTCAAAGCGAGTTACTGGATCCTCACCTAGTTGGGGGGGAATGCATACTACGAAAGCTCTGCCAAGCGCAATTCTGATTTTTTGGTGTACTCTCTCGTATATTTCTAAATGCCATTGGAGATTTCTTTTCTTATTTTTTTTGGGTGCCGTTGGAGATTTCTTTGTAAAGGATTAAAGAGATGGAAACACTACCATCAGATGTGTATACACCTACAAGGAGGACGTTTATGAAACAATCGCTTCCCAGTTTTAATAAAGGTTTCAATGATTTGGTAGCAATACATTTTTTAACTCACATTCATGGGAGAGTGGGGGTGTGTGAAAACTTCTTTGTTGTTAGGAGCTATGAAATCATCTCTGATTTGCAGCAAACCTTGTTATGTACAAGGAAACAAAACATTCACTGGTCTTTTGCCATACTCACAATGGTAGTCATGTTTGGACCAATTGTTATAGCCACTGTGTCAATCCACAAAATCTTCTCTTGTCTACAAACAGTACTGGATATAAAGGACACATTTAAAAGTACACCTTATTGTATCTTTTTGACTTTCAGAAACATGGTAATAAACCATTTTAAAAAAATTAAATCAAGATGAATGGAAAGCAGGGGAGGAATCTATCACTGAAAGCGATATTCCAAATCAGTATCATAACCTAACAACTGTGGGGAATGAACTCAAGTAATTTATGAACATGATATTTCACCTACATATCTTTGGGCTTAGAGGGAGCTTAAGAAAGGGAGAGTACTCCAAATTGTGTTTGTTTTCTTTTTTGCAGTGGTATGAGTACAATTCTGAAACGACCTTAGATATATGAAGCTGCTTCTAAAGCTTGGCCATCAAGTCTATTATTATTTAATTAAAAGATCATTTTATTGGGGGCTGTTATTGCTCTGAATTCTATTATTTTTTAATTCCATTTTTCCACCCCAAATTTTCAGGGACCTTATATAATGAGTAAATGTTTTGATGATGTTGAGAACCAGGACTCCCACTGTATAGGGCACATAACAAAGTCTAGGCAAAGACTAGTAAATTATAAACACCACAGAAAAAAGAAAAAGGACCATAAACCCATCAATCACTGCATGAGGGCGGGCTCTGAATACAATGGTATGTGCAGAGGCATTGCTGGGATTTGAAAAATCACCATTTTTGTAATCATCATACTAAAGATTGGTTTATAATTCTTATAACCAAACCATTGCTATCGAGTCAATTATGACCACGGTGACCCCATAGAACAGAGTAGAACTGCTCCTTTGGACTTCTAAAACTGTAAACCTTTAAAAGAGCACAATTTCGTTATCTTTCTTCATGCGAGCAGCTTGTGAGTTTGAATTGCTTAACTTGTGGCTACCAGCCCAACACTTATTTGGATGAGTAGGACATACAGTGCCCTCCCCACCCTCAACCCAGATTAATAAGAAAATTGGACACAGAGACCATTAACAATAAGAGGAAGGCTGACATCATGTGCCTCTCGCCAGATGTGACACCCTGAGGACACAGTACAGCTTATGTGAATTTTCTGGCCAGCAATGTATAATCTGAATCTAAATCAACAGGGCCCATGAACTACAAAATGGCAAATATCCTAAAAAGAGTAAAAAGAATGTATTCTTCACAAATGTCAACTTCACACAAGATTAAACTATGGAAACATTCCAAATTAAAGAAGACTAAAATCACACGACAATTCTATACAAACAACACTGCTGGCAAATAAAGCTTACACTGGAGGAGGAGGAGGAGGGGGTCTGCTATAAAGGACATTGTCAAATCAATGACAATCTCAAAAAGCAATGTTAGGATTCTGAAATATACCAAAGTTGCAACTCCGTCACAGTAATAATACACAGTATCTCCTGTGGAGAAATAGTCAAATATTGAAGGGTAAAGGACGATGATGCATCTAAGTCACTTTCAAATAGTCTGATGCGGGGGAGGATGACTGTCCACACAGAGGAAAAGAGGAAGGAAAGATAATTTGTCACGAGGTATTGAACTCATTCAAAACTAGTTATGATCCAATAGTTCATAACTAACATTGGATAAACTTAATAATTAAATAAAAAGGACTATAGGAAAATATGACAACAAGCATAAAATCTGCATCAGCGTTAAAACATAGTTTTGATCTTTCTCTTTTTCGGTATCAAGTTTATCCCCCAACTATTGACTCTTAGTCAGCTTATTACACAATCCTTAATAATCTGATCTTTGGGGAAATTTCCACTGATTTGAAGATACCCACCCTGTAGGAAGAGTGCCAATGAAGACTTCATCCCAAACTGGTTACTCCCATAAACAAAATCCAGTGCTATTAATCTGGCTTTAGAGAGTGTGTACAAGTGTTTTTATGAATTCAGACCCTAGATTGAGTGTTTTTAATTCTAGTCCTGCTGCTTACTAAAAATGTGATCATGGGCGAAATTGTCAGCCCCAATTTTGCCACGTGAAATATTGAGCCTCAAACAGTACCATTTCAGAATATTGCTTATTTAACTAAAATTATAACTAACATGTACTGGGTGCTTAAAAAAAAAGTAAGCAAAATGCTTTATTTGAAAATCAGTGTCGGGGGTTTAAATGGAGAGAAAATGTTTTGAGAAACGATGTACAAATGCGCTTTACACAATTGATGTGTGTATGGATTGGGATAACAGTTGTATGAGCCCCTAATAAAATGTTAAAAAAGAAAAAAAATCAAAAAAAAAAATCAGGTGTTTGTTCTTTTCATTAAGATTTCAGTAATTTCTGAAAGTTACAATATGATATCGAAACAGGAATTGCTACTTGTAGTTCTACTTCAGTATTTCCTACATTGAGATCATGCAATTACTGAATACATTTAAAAATTCACATCATACTCATAGATTTAGATGTTGAGGAAGTAGCACATCACCAAAATGTCTAAAATGCCAAGTTTTTTCCTTGGCTCTGTGTTAACCATTTCTTTTATAATAGTGGTCTCTCACACTATTTTTTCCTTTTTGATTCACTTCTTTTGCTCATCATAATGCCCTTAAGGGTCACATAAAGAAACATTCTTTGATAGTCACTAGGAATTAGAGGGGAAGGAGAGCAAACAATGAGTGTGCACACGTACTGACCTGAGTGCAGAGAAAGACAATGCACAGTGAAGCAGTGCTCAAAGAGCTGTTGCTCTTTAATAAGCAAAGAAAGTTGGTGGGGAGCTTAAGAGATTTAAAAGACATGAACCCATGGCAACATGAACCTTACTTGAATCCTGACTCCAAAAAATATATTTGTGGGTATAAATATGCACATATACACTGACTGCAAATGACATTAAAGGATGAAAATTATGAATTTAGGAGTAATAAAAATTTTTACATTTTAGAGAAAAATACTGAACTCACATATTAATGAAATAATATGGGATTTGTTTTCATATAAGGAGTGGCTTGTTTAAAGATAAAACAAGATTGATCACTAGTTGGAAACTGTTGAAACTGGGTGATATATAGGTACATGGGCAAACCCTATGAGAGGGGCTTCAAAAAGTTCATGGAAAATTAGAATTACAAAATACTGAAATTTCTCACAAACTTTTTGAAGGCCCTCTTCTGTCTATAATTCCCTTCCCCACTTTTTCACGTTTAGTATTTTCCGTAACACTTTCTTTAAGAAATTCAAAACAAAGTTGGAAATATTCACCCATTAGTAGAAATAATAAGGAAATTAGTTGAAAGTTCAATAAAATAAAGATTGGAAATATGGCAGAAAATGCATAAATAATAACCATATTTTGATAATAGACAACCAAAAAGTTTTTAAGTAGCACTCTACAATTTATGTACTTTAAACTAAATGAAAGAATGAACAAAACTTAGAAACTGGGGGTATATCAGCTTTAGCTACCACTATATTAATTTCAAATGGAGGATGTCTAGACCATCACATTTCAAAATTCATTAGCTGTTCTTTGCAAAACAGCTCAAACTTTAACCATACTAAGCAGCAGTTTCTTAACACAAACATGTATTTTTTTTTACCACCACACAAACATTAATTTCCTATGATCAGTATGCACATTTTATGTGTGGACATGTTTTACATGAGAAAAACAATATAAAAGTATTTTATTAAAAATTGACAGATTTACTCAAAGCTTGACCATTCAAACCTACCATTCAAACCGCCAGTAAGGCACCACTGGAAAGAGGACTATTGAAACTGAGGGTCTGTTCTTTTACCAGAGTTCATTCATTCAACATCTGGGCATCGAATATATACATATCATGCATGCATCAGGCATGCAGGAAGTTGATAAGGGCAAAAACATTCTGAAAGATTAATGATCCTCCAGTTCCCAAAATTCTATTTAGTCTTTAATTCCCTTAAGTCTCTTCTTTTTTAATAAAAGGAGGGTATATTCTACAGTTGTACTTTTTTATCAAAAGATGCTGCCTCAGTAAAATGTTTAATTTAAAAAAAGAAAAGCAGCCTCTACAGAGTAGCATGTGTACCAAGGATGCGGCCCTCCTCAATTATCACAACAATCCTGTTAGAATATTATCATTGTATTACATGTAAAGAAACAAAAGTTCAAAGGGCTCAAATAACTTACCCAGAGTCACACACAGAATAAGAGGAAAATAGGGATTCATATCCAGTTCTTCTGATTTCAAAGCCTAGTCTCTTGCCACTACACTATGTCTGATTTTCTTGCTCTATATAAAAACAAAATTTCCATAGATCACCTTTTTAGTAGCACCCAAGAGGAAAACTCTAATAAGACATCCATTAAGTATACAGTGATGGCTGGATGTGAGCTAATACATGACATGAATATATTTTGAAACACAATAAAGCTAGGGAGTCTTGTTGCCATTGTTCTTAATTTCTTCCAACTGTTTTATCTTTAGCCTATTTCGTTCCAACGAAAACCACCCAGGAGAGAATGCTCAAGAATGTTTTAACACATTGGACACCACATAATTATATAAAAATACACACCAGGGTATGGAAATGAATTGTTTATGAAATTGTATACAAATGAATTGTATATGAAATACTGTTCAAACAGGGTTTTTTAATAAGTAGAATGCAACATGGAACCCACTAAGTCTAGACTGTCCAATCGTTAACAAAAATTTAAAGCTGCCTGCAAGTAGGAATGTAAACAATGTGTTTATCTTTCTAGGTCAACTTCCTTAAATTCATTTTTGTATACAATTTTATTTTCCAAGGCTATCAATTTTTACCACAATCCAAACCAGCAAACACAACTTCCCTGAACAATAAAAATTATAACCTTTTACAATGTTAAAAATTTTTTTAAGTGTGCACAATTCCATCGCTGGTTGGGAAATCTTGCATCAATATACATGACTCCTAAACTCCTTCGGATTCAAGTTTTCCTTGGTTTCCCTCCTCCAAATTTCGCCTGGGGGAAATTTTATTAAGAAATAAGATTTTGAGGAAGGCCTATCTAGCTCAAGCAGAGATTTTGTAATCGGAGGAGTCGCTCTCATTCGCAATTACTTCCAACAACAAAGCGCTGGCTAACTGATCCAAATACCCTCCAGGATCAAGTGTGCAGCGTACCCGTAGGGAGAACCAGGGTCCAACTAGGAACCAATACCAACACGGAACCTCTGGCATTGTAGACGGACGATCCCCGAGGAATTTGGAGACAAGTATCAAAGCCTTTTATGCCCTCTGGACCGCCACACAAAGGTGACATTTTCTTTGCTTGCACATGTCGCTGGATTCTAATATGCCCCGCTTCCTCCCAACTCCCCTGGCCTCATCCCCGGAGACAAACACGCTCTTTTCTCCATGCTTTTGTGCACCACGTCTCCCGCGACGCGATGGGGAGAGCGGCTCCCTCCCTCCCTCGCTCCCGCCCGCTGTCAGGCCCGCGCGGAGCAGAAGGGGCCGCCACGGCCTAGCGGAAAGGGCTGCGCTCGCCCACGGGCCTGGGCAACGAGGTCCCGCTCCTCTTCCCGAGGGAGGCTCGTAGGCACGGTGCCCGCACGGGCGCTGCAGCGCGCAGAGGCCATTCTCTGCGGCCGAGGGGAAAGGCAGTCCCCTCCCCACCGCGGGGGCGCCCCGGCCTCCTCCCACCCCCGCCGCCCGCCCGCCGCCATTTTGTGAGCAGCCGCTGCGACACAGATACAATAGTCGGCCTGGAGCTCGCGGGAAAGCCAGAAGACCCCGCACGCCACGGGATCCTGCCTTCTAGCCCTATCTCCCCACAGGGCAGAGGGCCTACCTATCAATAGCCACCCGACTAACAGCCGGCTGAGTCTCCTAAGCGCCCCGGAAAGTTTAGCACCCAACCTCAGCCTCCGGTCTCGACGCCAGGGAAGCTGCCGCCTCCGCGCAGCTTCGCGCATGCGCGCCTCTCGGCCGCGGCGAGCCCTCCGCTCGCTCCTCTGTGCGCCTGCGTGCCGCTCGGCCCGCGCTCGGCCCGGGCGGGGCGCGCTCAGGGCGAGGGGAGATCCGGCGCGGGTCACGCCGCGGGCCAACGCTGCAAAACGCAGTCACCGAAGGGCACGGATTGTAGGAGACCGCTGTTGTGAAAAACAAGTATAAAAACAAGAAGACGTTTCCAGACCAACGGAAACGGACTTTCATGATTACCGGGGGTGGGACATGAAGAAAGGGAAGAGGAAGCAATACACTAGATAACAAAACACCGAAATCACTAGTCGTCCATCGAGGCGACGCCGACCCAGGAGACCCAACAGAACTGCCCCTTGTGCGTCTCTGAGACTAACTCTTTAGGGGAGTAGAAAGCCCAGTCTTTCCCCCAGGGAGACTGCTGGTTTGGGAGAATCCAACCCCAAATCTATCCACTCCACAACCGGGGTCCGCGAGAAGGAAATGGGGCGGGGGGAGAGGGGCAGGTTTTAAAGGGAAATAGGGTAAACCATTGGGAAGCTTGGTGAGTTCAGTTGTTGAATGAAAAGATAATCATCTGATCTGTAAACCCCCCACCTAATTTACCCAAAAAAGTTAAATTTTTAAAAGCTTCAAGCCCTCATAGGAATGCAGTATCTTTATAACTGGGTTATTTGTCTTTTTTTGGTTGCTAATTTGTTAGTATTTCTTGACAGATAAAAGGTATTCTACTCCACCTTATTTTCTTTTTCTTTTTTTTTTGTGTGTTGTTTTTTATCTTCCTGAGGATTTGCAAGTGTACAGTCTCTTGCCAGCTTGCGGGGTAAAGCGTTTGTCCACAATTACAGATGAGGGGAACTTTCGACGCGTGTGAAGGACCTGTTAAGCATCTTTGCAGTATAGCAGAAAGAAGAAAGATCAACACGGGAGCCGTGTCTTGAAGGATTCGGGGTCCACCTTATTTTGTTAACAAGCTGCTCTCCCACGATCTACGACCCTCTTCTTGTATCCACTTTCTTTCCTGCAGGGCCAGGCAAATACTTTGTAGCTCACTCAGAGCTCAGCTTCTATCTGTTCAGAATGCTCGCAATGCAACGCCCGAAGGTATTGAAGAAAACAATAGTTACCACAAAGGTTCTCCTGTGTGTCAACAGGGCTTTGTCTCGGACCTAGGGAATCATGTCACTGTTTCAGCTCAAGTGCAAGTGTTACAAGAAATAAAATTTTATGTTATAATGAATAACACTTTGGTACAATCGCGCGCCATTCTTCTGCCTGTCTTAACTACAGGAAAAGACCCAGGGCCACGATGAAAAGTTTGAGAAATCCTGGAGCCACTTTGTGTCCCACACATTAATATAGCATCAAGAAAATCTACTTCCGCAGGGAGATCAGCCAGTCAAGGTGCAGTGTAGCAATGATGAAATATACAACTTTCCTCTAATTCTTTAATGCTTCTTCCCCTCCCCTCCACTATCATGATCCCAATTCTACCGTACAAGTCTGGCTAGACCAGAGGATGTACACTGGTACAGATAGGAACTGGAAATACAGGGAATCCAGGGCGGATGATCCCTACGGGACCAGTGGAGTGAGTGGCTATACTAGGAGGGTGGAGGGAAGGTGGGGTGGAAAGAGGGAACCGATTATAAGGAACTATATGTGACCTCCTCCCTAGGGGACGGACAACGGAAAAGTGGGTGAAGGGAGACGTCGGACAGTGTAAGATATGACAAAATATTAATTTATTAATTATCAAGGGTTCATGGGGGGCAGGGAGGGAGGGAAAAAATGGGGTGCTGATACCAAGGGCTCAAGAAGAAAGCAAATGTTTTGAGAATGATACAGGCAACAAATGTACAAATATGCTCGACGCAATGGATGGATGGATGGATTGTGATAAGAGTTATACAAGCCCCCAATAAAATGATTTTAAAAAAGAAAATGTCCTTCTTACTGATACCTTGAACGTTGCAGTATCTCTGCCAGGCGACAAGGTCTTTGTGGGCAGGTAGACATCTTACTAATTTAAAATCACAACAGATATTCCTCTGAGCTTTCATCAAAGCTGATGCAATGATGACCAGCCATCCTTTGCCTCTTCCTTTTAAAACAGTCTTTAAATATGTATATTAATTCAGTGACCCGGTTCCCTTAGAGCAGCGGTTCTCAAGCTTCCTCATGCCGTGACCCTATCATACAGCTCCTCATGTGGTGGTGACCCCCCCAACCATAACATAATGTTCGTTGCTACTTCATAACTTTCATTTTGCAACTGTTATGAATCAGGTGATCCCTGTGAAAGGGTTGTTTGACCCCCAAAAGGGTCAGGACCCACAGACTGAGAACCACTGCTGTAGAGGATGGAGCTAGCTCTCCTCTCTTCAAATGTGGGCCAGACTTAATAATTTATTCCTATTGAATAGAGTGCAGAGGAAGTGACATTGTATGACTTCTGAGGCTAGGTCCTAAAAAGGACAGCTTTTGCTAGTCCCTCCTTTCCTCTCTTGGATTATTCCTTGGGGAAAGCCAGCTGCCATGTTGTGAGACTATGCTAAGACTGTGGGGAAGCCCATTGAGAGGAATCAAAGCCTGCTGCCATCCACCACCACCAAATTACCACCATTCCAGTGAGCCACTCTGGAGACAGACCTCCAATACCAGTCAGCCCTCAGATGACTACAGCCTATGTCAGCATCCAAACACAACTTCATGAGCTACTGTAAGCAAGAATTGCCAACCCAAGTTACTTTTGAGTTTCTGGTGCATAGAAACAGAAGATTTTTTTTTTAATGTATATTATATTAAGTCGCTAAATTCTGGGGTAATTTTTATGCAGCGCTACGTAACTAGTACATTGGTTAACAGTATATTAAGACCTAAATTCAGTAAAAACGTGATTTTAAAAGCATGACACCAGTAAGTAAGCAATAAGACGAAATTTAGAAACCAAAAAGAGGATAGCAATCTCATAATACACCAACAAGCTAAATTGTAAGTCAAGTTACTGACCAGAGAAAGGCAGGGAAGTAAATAGATAAAAATACCCCTCTTGGAAGGAGAGAGAGTGGAGCACATCCTGGCCCACCAAGCTCCAAGGACGATATTCCTGCTCAGAGCAGCCTATGCACAGAGAGGACCATAGGGCCTCTAGACACAAAGTCCCTCACTGACCCATAGTGCTCTGGTGGACAACACTGGAGACACAGTGTGGGAATTGTGCCCAATCTGACCCCACCAAACACTAAGGGCGTGCAACAGAACAGCAAGGGAAGCAAAGCAATCAAGTCCCCAGGGAATA